GGGGGGGGGGGGGGGGGGGGGGGGCCTGCTGGGTACGTGGGCGCGGAGCCCTTGCGTTCCCGCCCGGGAAACAAGGGAGAGGGCCGTAAAGTGGCACTGCGAGTGCGGCAAAAGGGGCGGAGCAAGCGCTCCCGCGCAGGATGCGTTGTGGGCGAAGACGCACGCGCAGGGGAAGCCCTTCCGGTCTCCTAGGCTCCACGCTGTGCGCAGAGCCAGTTAATGTCTCCAGTGTGCAATTGAGGGGAGAAGCTCCGTGGTTACTGGGAATGTGCCTAGGGTCGCCCCTCAGGCTCCTAGTGAGACATCCAACAGCTCTTTATTGCACGCTTACTGTGTACCCGCTTCTGTTCACAGAAATGAACAAAACACAAAATTCCTGGCCCACCTGGGGTACGGGGAGAGAGACAGTAACTGAATAAAAAGGCAAATGCACTAGTTTCCTAGCACTGCTGTAATAAATTACTATACACTGGGCAGCTTAAAACGACAGAACTTGGTTTTCTTGCAGTTCAGGAGGCCAGAATTACAAAATTAAGGTGTCAGCAGGGTTGGCTCCTCCTGAAGTGTCTGAGGGACAGTTTTATGCCTCTCTCCTGGCTTCTGGTGGCTTCTGGTGGCTCTCAGCAATCCTTGGTATTCCTTGGCTTATAGACACATCACTCCAATCTCTACCTCTGTCTTCAAATGGCCTTCTTTGTCTCAAATCTTCCTCTCCTTTTTCTTTTTTTTTTTTTTACTTCTGCATATTTTTATTTCCAATTCATATCATAGACAAAGCACCAGTATAGAATGTCCGTTATTTGAAAACACTCCTTTCCCCCACCGTATTTGAAATAGGATGCTCCTCTCCATATGGTTTACAGAAACTCCAACTGAAAGATGCTTAGTCTGGGCCAGCCTGTGGCTCACTCAGGAGAGTGTGGTGCTGATAACACCAAGGCCAAGGGTTCAGATCCCTATATAGGAATGGCCGGTTAGCTCACTTGGGAGAGCGCGGTGCTGACAATACAAAGTCAGGGGTTAAGATCCCCTTAGCAGTCACCTTTAAAAAAAAAGGAAGAAAGATGCTTAGTCTTCTATCCCATGAGCACCCATCCAGCTGTCTTTCAATGGGTAAGCTACATGCTTGCTATAGTCATAAAAGCCCTTGAAGTTTTCAGGATAACAGAAAATAACCTGCGGGCCAACCCCGTGGCTCACTTGGGAGAATGCGGCGCTGGCAGCGCAGCAGTGCTCCCACCGCGGGTTCGGATCCTATATAGGGATGGCAGCTGTGCTCACTGGTTGAGCGCGGTGCTGGGCTACACCAAGCCAAGGGGTGTGATCCCCTTACCGGTCACAAAAAAAAAAAAAAAAAAAAAAGAAAGAAGGAAAGAAAAGAAAATAACCTGCACTTCGCACATGAGTTCTCACTCCTGAAATTAAGAAAGCATATACAAGTCATTGTAATCCGACTATAAATGTTTTCTATGTAACAGCTAAACTCCCCTTTTCAAGGGTATAGATTGGATTGTTGCAGCCAGATATTTCCTCTCCTTTTTCTTATGAGGATGTTACTCTCTCGTATTAGGCCCACCCTAAATCCAGGATGCTGTCACCTAGAGATACTTAATTACATCTGCTAAGACCCTAGTTCTTTTTTTTTTTAATGACTGGTAAGGAGATCTTAACCCTTGACTTGGTGATGTCAGCACCACGCTCACCCAGTGAGTTAACCAGCCATCCCTATATGGGATCCGAACCCGTGGCCTTGGTATTATCAGCACCACACTCTCCCGAGTGATCCACGGTCCGGCCCTAAGATCCCTATATGGGATCCGAACCCGTGGCCTTGGTATTATCAGCACCACACTCTCCCGAGTGATCCACGGTCCGGCCCTAAGACCCTATTTCAATTAAGGTCCCATTCACAGGTACTAGGAGGTTAGCACGTAGACGTATCTTTTTAGGGGATACTATTCAATCTACTACAAGTAAAAGCTTTATGCCTTTGAATGTTCATTTGAATAGCTCACTTCTCCAAGGTGATCGTGCATGTAGTTTCACATACTGGTGAGTATGACTGTGGCCTGATTTCCTAGGAGAGGCTTAGCAGGGTGCCCATCAACGGTTCCATCCTCTGGCCGCATGCTTCAACCTTCAGGCTTATGAATGAGCAACTGGGGACCTTACCCAGTGACTGTCACCCTCCCAGCCTCCCAAGCCTCAGCACTGGCCTGAAAGTCTTTTCTTACCAGGTCTGAGGTGGATGACTCCTGGCTAAAAAGATCTTATGCTTCTTGGAGCAGGATTGGGGAACTCTTGATGCTCTACTTCTCAATGAAAGACTCCCCTATACCAGGCCTCAAAGACCTGGGTGGAAGAGGATGGGAACCCACAGACCCAGCTGTCTCACACCAGAAGCTTTGGGGCACTAAAATCTTCCCTCCAGGACCTGGTGAGGGGAGAAGGGTCTCGGTGCTCAATTCTGCTGCAAAGGAGCTGAGAGTCTCAGGTATGTTCCTCATCCCTGCCAACCAGAGCTACCATGTGGACTGATAAGATGTGAAGCCCGTATAAAGTGCCAGCACCCAATGGCCCTGAACCAACAGTTGTCCTTCCTGAGGTTTGCAAAACAAAGGCAATACCCGAAAGGAAGGAGATGGGAAAAGGGCAATCTAGCCATGCCTGAAGCCAGGTCTTTACCCTGGTCTTTCCCACTGTATGAGCCATGAAGTTTTCTTCATTGCTCCGGCCTGTTTGAGCTCAGTTTTCCATCAGAGCTGAAAGAATCTTGACAATGGCAGAAAGCTTAAGGACGAAAAACATGAAGTTAGGGAATATCAGGTCTGCTCAGGGGCAAACAGTGAACTGTGAGGATGAACCTGGCTGGATCAGGAGTGTGAAATTGATTTTGTCAGGCAACTCTGACAACTGGAGCAAAAAGGAATTTGTTGGGGAGGATGTAGGTGGGTTTTACAGAATCTATGGGATCAGAAAATGCAAGACCAATAAAGCACAGTATTATAACACCAAGGTCTAGGGTTTGGGTCCCTGTATGGCCAGCTGCCAAAAAAAAAAGAACATGAAAGAAAGAAAATGAGCATCTAACTGCCAGACTCATGACGTAGGCTGGGATTTTGCTGTCCCCTGGAAACTGACTCTGAAATAAAAACTCAAGGGCCTGTGGCTTATTCAGGTGGTGATTGCAAGAAGCCCCTGTGGGGCTGAGGATCTGAGACAAGGGGGGAAGGATCCCTGCGGCAGATGCTCCCACCCCAGGTGCAGGGGAGCCGAGGTGTTTATTCTCCAAGTTCTGTCTGTCATTGGCTTAGGGCTGCTCCCCCAAAATCCAAATCCTCTGACCCTCTGGCCTGCCCCACATCCAGGTAGAGTGGGCTGTGGAGGTTGGAGAAAGCCCAGGGAGTCTTACAAGAAGAAGCCACTTGTGGAACATTGAGGGTTGAAGGAATGTGGATTCAAGAGGCGCTGCAGATGAATTCCCTGCCCCTCACTCCATGGGAGGCATTGCTCACCGGGTATTCCAGGCACCAAAAGTGACGCCAGTGTTCACAATAAGCATTACCAAGTTCAAGCCCTACTGGGTGGCCCAGAAAGGCTGGAAAGGTCTGAGATGTGTGTAGGATGCTGGTGAGATGCCAACAGCAATATGCCAACTGGGTTAGAGGGATCCGGGTGCCCAGCCACGCCTCGTTTGCAAAGGGCAAAGGTTGCTTGATGTAAACAAAGAAACTGGGTCCACGAGATGGCTCAGCATCAACGTGGTGATGGAAATGGGAAGAAAATTGTATGCTGGGTTACTCCATTCTGACTATTCTAGACTTTTCTACGTGCAAAGTGTCTTCTGCCAAACTGGCAAACTTGTATGCGTTGTCGAAAACTCTGCTTGGGTGACCCCGTGTGGTGGAATGTAGTCACTGCAGCTTTCTGTTAGCCCTTTGAACATAGAGGTGGCCAATCAGAGTTCTCCATTCCCCTGTCCTAGTGATTGGTTAGAGGAGGAGCCCATGACCTACCCAAGACAATTAGATTCTCTCCTGGGAAGGATATGAGGGCTGGGAGGGAGTAGAGCTCTAACCATCCCGGTTGCTAAAATGAGATAGTTAAAATCCAGTGCCATCAGGATCTATCTTCTGGAAAAAGGTTTCTGCAGAAAGAATCCTACATACACAAGACAGTAGAGCTACTTGGTGAAAAAAGAGACAGAAGTCGAGCCCCTGGATCAAGCTATACCTGAAACCATAGCTATGACTTCCCATTTATATGAATCCAAGAAGTTGTTCTTTAGTGCTTAATCCACTTGGAGTTTGGAGTCTGTCCCCAGCAACTGGAAGAACCTGCACTAATGCACAGCTGCTCTGTGAACTCTTCCCTAACTGCCCCCCCAATCTAATCATTGCCTCTCTCATACCTTGAACTTTAGTACCTGTGCTAATTTCCATCACCACCTGGTGTGTGCCACGTGGTCGTTGCTCAGCTAAGCCCACTTGACTCTGATCGCAGGAGGGTTTGCGTGGGTCTATTTTGGGGGCTGTTCAGCAGTTTCCCCTCCCCATCATCGTGGACACATGACCCAAGCCTTGCCAATCAGAGGGCTTCCCTGGGACAGTTCTGAGATTGCAAAACTGGGGTGACCTGAGTCAGGAACAGACATGGCCCATCTTTCCACGGCAGAGTCATGGCCTTGTTTAACCCTGGATTCAACTGTACTTGACACTTCATAAATCTTCATCCTTTCCTATTCCTTGAACCAGTACTCCTATGCTTTTAGTCCAATTTAAATGGTATTTCTTTCCTTTTTTTTTTTTTGGTGGCCGACCATACAGGGATCTGAACCCTTGACTATTTCCTTTTAACTGGGGGAAAAAAATTGGCATTATGCCT